GCTCTTGCTCAGGCTGGTTTCGAACTCCTGAGCTCAAACAATCCGCCCGCCTCAGCCTCCCAGAGAGCTAGGATTACAGGCGTGAGCCACCATGCCCGGCCTCCCATCACATCTTAATGTTGCTTTTTCAAGACCCCGAGATTCAAGCTCCAACACCTCAGACCACCTGAGCAAGCCTCTCTGTCCTCATCACCTAAGAAAGTCTCAGGTGTTTCTCTGAGCCCTGGAGGACCTCACTATAGCATGAGCCACACAATCCACCACGATTATGTGACTTTCCCTCTAGTTCTCCCCAAACTGTCTCTGTCCCTAAATCCTATGTCCCCAGGAACAAACTAGAGAAGTAAGGCCACCTTAGGAACAAAGATACTGATACTAGCAGACATTGGTCTTTCTCACTCCAGGCAACGGTGCTTTTACTTTTATCTGAATATGGTACCTAATACATTCAATTTCTATTATTTCAAATTATTAGGTCATTAAATATGAAATGTCCAATTTCAAATCAAAAGTGTAGTTATCTCAAAGAAGCAGTACAATTAATCAAAGTATGCGCCTAAACTATCGACACAGTTTTGCCATATTAACAATAGCCTGTTTACGCCAGCAGCAAAGAAGCCTGGAGAGAGAGCGGCAATCAAATCGCAAAAGGCATTTTATTTTCCACAGCTTGTTCAGAATTGAATATTTTTCCCTGCAAGAAGTGGTCAAAGCCTGGAGGAAGTGGTAGTCACTTGGTGCAAGGTCTGGTGAATACAGTGGATAACAGAGAGTTTCCAAGTCCAGCTGCTGTAGTTTAAGCAGCGTTGTTTGTGCAGCATGTGGTCAAGCATTGTCCTGCAAGAGGACTGGCTTGTCTCTATTGATCAATCTCGGCTGCTTAATCGCAAGCATCCTCATCATTTCATCTGATTGGCTGCAGTGGACATCCGCTGTAATGGACTGACTGCGTTTCATGAAGCTGTAGTGGATAATACCAGCTCTGGACCACCAAACAGACACCATTAGCTTTTTCTTGATGAATATTTGGTTTTGGACTGTGTTTCGGCACTTCATCTTTATCCAACCATTGTGCCAAACGCTTGCGATTGTCAAAAATAATCCATTTTTCATCACATGTAACAATATGGTATAGAAATGGTTCGCCTTTATGTCATGACAGCAAAGAAAGGCAAGCTTCAAGATGATTTCTCTTCTGATGCTTGTTTAGTTCATGTGGAACCATCTATCCAGCTTCTTTTCCTTGCCCATGTGTTTCAAATGGTCCAGTACTGTTGGAATAGTAACATCAAACCTTGCTACTAGTTCATGCATAGGTTAAGATGGCTTCGCTTCCACTACAGCTTTCAGCTCATCATTATCCACCTTGCTCAGGTCGCCCATGTGGCTGATTTTCAAGATGAAAATCACCAGAATGGAACTTCTCAAACCACTGATGTACTATCATATTCATTAGCCACATCCCTCCCAAACACTTGATATTTCAAGCTGTCTGAGCTGCACTGGTTCCGCGATGGAAATCATTTTTGAAAGTAACGCAAATTTTTGCCTTACGCATGGTTTCACAAAAATTGCTCTAAAAAAAAATTTGAAACATAATCACAAGGCAAAACATGCGTTTGAAAGACTGAGGATGCACCTTCACGATAAAAATATAACAAATGTGAAAGTTGAAATGTCAGCGGTATCAATTGTCAAACTTAGTACTTAAGGAAATCGGACATTTCATACTTAATAACCTAAATCACATTTTATGTCTAGGTCTTACTCACCCAACAAAAACAAACTCCTTGAGGAAAAGAACCTTAACTTTTACCTCTTTATACTAGGCACCAAAAACTGTCACCTGCTTTGTGGCATGATTTCAAAAATGCTTCTTAATGAAAAATGTGATTTTATATATACTGCAAACTACATTATAGGATATTTTAAGAATTCAGATGAGAAAAATCAATGAAGCTTAAGATTCATGAAGTCAAGATCTGCTAAACGAGGCTCATTTCAACAGCCATGAGCTGTGCTGCAGAGTAACGTCACGGTGGATTCCAGGATCACGTCAGATGGTAGAGAGGGGATGTCAGGCCAGAGAGGGTGAGAGACTAAAACAAGGACTCAAGAGGGCGGCTGACAACAGCAACAGTGCTGTCCAAACAAGACTAACTGCAGAAAACACTTTTACAGCCGAAATTCCCAAGGCCAGCATGGCTCTGACAAGCAGAAGTTAGGGAGGGACAGTGAAGTCAAACCTGGGGCTGATTAGATCCTGATCACATCTAGATGTCTGATGACAGGAAAGGGTTCCTAGAAAAAAACCCTTTAAGGAGTAGCTTAAATTTGCTTAAGTTTGAAGTTCTGAATTATTAAAAATGTTGTTCCTTGATTCAAAGATCTACATTTTCATTTTAGTTTCTGAAACCAGGATGTGCATTCACTGTATACACTTAATTCAAAGCATTTTGTTTTATTCAGAACAGTTACTAAATCAAAGGTCCTTTTTACACCAGTGGCATTTATAATCAAGGACAAATAGTTTCCCTGCATCACTGTGTCAACTACATTCAAAGACGACTCTGAAAGCATCCATAACCCTGCCCAACAATGAACTCTGTTTTCTATCTCCCTAAACGGCTGCAGTGGGCCTCCTCCCCATTCCTCCACCAGCAACCCCAAGACATGTGATGTTCCTCAGACTAAATTCACACTTACCCCTAACTTTTCAAGAAACGTGAAAACCAAATACAGAAAATACATACCACTTTCTTTCCAGACGGTTCCCAGAGAGAAACATCTCCCCACGATGTGTTATAAAAGTACTTCTCCCCTGGATCGAAGCCTTTAAGGTCCTTTTCAAAACGGAGAAAAAAAGAGATCATTATGCAAATTCAGAAGACAAATATTTAATTAGACCCTGGCAAGTGTGTGGCACCTAAGAAACCTACATGAGAAAAGAGAAATGAAAATACAGTTGTTCCCCCATATCCACATGGGATGGGTTCCAGGACCCCCTGCGGATACCAAACCTGCAGATGCTCAAGTCCTGACCTAAAATGGTGCAGTGTATGCATATAACCTATGCACATGGATGTAAGAAAGTGAAACAGCCGTATTGCGGATATGAAGAAACTTTTACTGGTCTGGACAGAAGATCTAAGCAGTCACAACATTCATTCCCTTAAGCCAAAGCCTAATCCAGGGCAAGGCCCTGACTCTTCAATTCTATGAAGGCTGACAGAGGTGAGGAAGCTGCAGAGGTTGGTTCTTGAGGTGTATGGCAAAAAAGCCGTCTCCATGACATAGAAGTGCAAGGTGCAGCACTAAGCACTGATGGAGAAGCCGCAGCAAGTTATCCAGATCTAACTGAGATCACCGCTGTTACACTAAACAAGAGATTTTCAGTGTAGATGAAACAGCCTTCTAATGGAAGAAGATGCCATCTGTGACTTTCATAGCTAGAGAGAAGTCAATGCGTCTGGCTTCAAACCTTTAGACAACAGGCTAATTCCATCGTTAGGGGCTAATGCAGCTAGCTATGACTTTCAGTTGAAGCCAATGCTCCTTCACCATTCTGAAAGTCCTAGAGCCCTTAAGAACTATGCTAAATCTACTCTGCCTGTGCTCTATACATGGAAGAACAAAGCCTGGATGACAGCTCATCTGTTACAGTGTGGTTTGCTGAATATTCTAAGCCCACTGTTAAGACCTACTGCTCAGAAAAAATGATTCCTTTCAAAATATTCCTGCTCATTAACAATGCACCTGGTCACCCAAGAGCTCTTTGGAGAGGTGCAAGGAGATTAATGTTGTTTTCAAGCCTGCTGACACAACATCCATTCTACAGCCCATGAATCAAGAGTAATTTCAACTTTCAAGTATTAATTATTTCAGAAATATACTTCATAGGAATTCTCTGATGGAACTGAGAAAAGTAAATTGAAAACCTGGAAAGGATGCACCATTCTAGATGCCATCAAGAACATTTGTGATTCACGGGAGGAAGTCAAAATATGAACATTCACAGGAGTTTGGAAGAAGTTGATTCCAACCCTCAAGGATGACTTTTAGAGGTTGAAGACTTCAGTGTAAGAACTGCAGATGTGGTAGAAACAGCAAAAGAACTTAAATTAGGAGTGGAGCCTGAAGGTGTGACTGAATTGCTGCAGTCTCAGGATAAACTTGAATGGATGAGGAGTTGCTTCCTGTGGATGAGCAGAGAAAGTGGTTTCTTGAGATGGAACCTACTCCTGGTGAAGATGCTGTGAACACTGTTGAAATGACAACAGGATTTAGAATGTTCCATAAACTTAGTTGGTAAAGCAGCAGCAGGGTTTGAGGACTGACTCCAATTTTGAAAGTTCTACTGTGGGTAAAATGCTCTCAAACAGCATTGCATGCTACAGAGAAATCTTGCATGCAAGGAAGAGTCTATCAATGCAGCAAACTTCACTGTCATCTTATTTTAAGAAACTGCCGCGGCCGCCCCCACCTCAGCAACCTCCATCCTGGTCAGTCAGCACCAGCAACGTAGAGGAAGACCTTCCACCAGCAAAAAGATTAAGACTCATTGAAAGCTCAATCTTTAGCATTACTTAGCAATAAAGTACTTTTAACTAAAGCATGTACATTGTTTTAGACATAATGCTCTTTCACACTTAAGAGACTACAATATAATGTAAATATAACTTTTTTTCTGAGACAGGGTCTCACTCTGTCGCCTGGGTAGAGTGCAGTGGCATCATCACAGCTCACTGCAACTTCAAAATTCCTGGGCTCTAGCAATCCTCCTGCCTCAGCCTCCCCAGTAGCTGGGACTATAGGCACACATCACTGCACTCAGCTAATTTTTCTGTTTTTTTGTAGAGATGGGCTCTCACTCTTGGTCAGGCTGGTCTCAAACTCCTGGCCTCAAGTGATCTCCCTGCCTAGGCCTCCCAAAGTGCTAGGATTGCAGGAGTGAGCCACTGCACCTGGCCTAAACATAACTTTTATATGCAAGGGGAAACCAAAAAATTCATGTGACTCACTTTATTGAGATATTTGCTTTAATACGGTAGTCTGGAAGTGGACCCAAAATATCTCCAAGGTATGCCTGTACTTGAAACTCTAACCAGAGATCTTTCTAAAAAAAAAAACTCCATTTTTTCTCCTCTACCACCTCTTTAACATCAAAGGTTTTTCCTGGCCTCCACCGTGATAGTATCTGTACCTCTATCAGTTTTTAATTTCAAACACACGATGACAAAAGCTGCCAGGAATAGTAATACTTTTAAACAACTCTGGATATTATTAGTATTTATCACATCAGTATCTACTAACATTTGAAATGTAACAGTAACTTAATGGGTGGAGTACTCATTCAATCCTCAGATAATGCTTCTCTTTACTTATGAATTCTCAGCCCACGAGAGAAACTATAATTCCCAAATAACACCACAGTTCCTCTTCGGTACACAGCATATGTTAGAAATCTCCATCCTGGGCAGTACACACATGCATACACAGAAAGAACACATATCTCTTTCACTTTCAAGGTATTTGTGGGTTTTGGTTATTAAGCAACCAAATACTAGTGTCTTTTATATATATATATTTTTTTTTTGAGACAGAGTCTCACTCTTTTGCCCGGGCTAGAGTGAGTGCCGTGGCGTCTGCCTAGCTCACAGCAACCTCAAACTCCTGGGCTCTAGCGATCCTCCTGCCTCAGCCTCCCGGTAGCTGGGACTACAGGCATGCGCCACCATGTCCGGCTAATTTTTTCTATATATTTTCTTTTTAGTTGTCCAATTAATTTCTTTCTAATTTTAGTAGAGACGGGGTCTCGCTCTTGCTCAGGCTGGTTTCGAACTCCTGAGCTCAAACAATCCACCCGCCTCGGCCTCCCAGAGAGCTAGGATTACAGGCGTGAGCCACTGTGCCCGGCCCTCTTTTATATTTTAATGGGTAAAACACATGGTCATTATTCAAGGGATGGGCCCACTTAACTGGGCTAAGCATCAAGTGGTGGTCAGGACTGATCCATGCTGTGGTTCCAGTACACTCAGATATGCCAGGTACCTTCCTAGCACTAGCTCTAAAAAGAAAATTCTTATCAGATTTTATATGGGGAACTCTGAATGAAATCATGGCCAGGCACAGTGGCTCACACCTGTAATCCTAGCACTCCTGGAGGCAGGAAGATTTCTTGAGGCCAGGAGTTCAAGAGCAGCCTTAGCAAGAGAGAGACCCCCATCTCTACCAAAATAGAAAAATTAGCTGTGTATGGTGGGTGCATGCCTATAGTCTCAGCTACTGGGGAAGCTGAGGCAGGAGGACCACTTGAGCCCAGGAGTTTGAGGCTGCAGCAAGCTAGGATGATGCCACTGTGCTCTAGCCTGGGGGACAGAGCAAGACTCTATCTCAAAAAAAAAGAAGAGAAAGAAAAGAAAAAGAAAAAAGAAAGAAGGTAAGGTTCTTAGACGAGTATATTTTCCCCAAGGCTCACTCTTCTCAGCCTGGCAGTCAACAACCACACAGCCTCCTATTTGAGGCCCTAACTCTTCCTAGAAGAATAAAGTCACATGTGCTTTGTGACACTCTATTGTGAAATCCGAAATGCAGCACAGGGCATCCATGAGGACCAGACGGGTGCTCCCTCGGTCCCTTCTTTTTCCTGTGCTGTTCTCCAGTCAGCTTGGATTCTATAAGCCCCCAACAGACTTCCCATAAATTCCCTTTTACAGAAGAGGTTGGTCTGTTTGGTTTCTGTTGTTTGAAACCAAAGAACTCTTAACTACTGTGGTGGATTCAGAATAAATGCATTTGACACAGAAAAGGTTCTTAATATGAAGTTCAGTGAAAAGAAAAAAAAGCTAGTATAATATCTTATACAGCTTCACCATATCCCTGTAAGGAAAAAAAAATGTGAATGTATCCCATTTTAAAAAAATCTATGAAGACATATAACAATGTTAACAGCAGATATTTCGGGGTAATGGTTTACAAGGGAGTCTTGATTTTCTTTATGTTTCTGTGTCTATTTCATAAAATATAGGCCTAATTACAAATTACTAAAAATAAAAATTTCCACCCAAGAGAATTAGTACTATTTAACCCAACAGTTGATCTAACTAACTTAACAGCTTTAAGCCATTCAAATCTCCTAATTTTCCCCTGTGAATTATGTATGTATCTCTGTGTCAGTAAAGTCTTAAAAAGAAGTAACAGTCCTGAACAAATTCAGATGAGTAAACATTCTTACATTGACTGAAGTTCATGAGGAATGTTCAGTTCTACTCAAGTCAAAAACAAAGGACTCAAGGATGAAAACCTTCAGCTGTTACTGACATTTTATCTAAAAATAAAACCAATTTCATAACAGAATTACACTTTTAAAAACTGAATTCACACTGCAAGGAAGCTAAAGAGACATGATGACCAAATGAATACCTGATCCTATTCTGGATCCATTTCTGAAGGAAAAACAATGCTATAAACAATTAGATCAGACAGAAACCTCATACCAATGTTACATTTGCTCACGCTGATAACCACCCTGCAGTAATGCAGAGACCACCTGTAAGCAAGAGTGAGGAAATGTTAATGCCAACAGGACCACATGTTAATTGGTAAATCTGAGTAAAGGGTAATGAGTGTTCTTTGTACTCTCTAATTCCTGTAACTTTTCTATAGCTTTGAATCATTTTTTCCAAATACAACCTTTTTTAAAAACTGGATTCACTCAGCCTGGTTTGATGGGGCTTAGTCAATTTGGACATGGTTCTAAATTCCATGTTCCTGAAACACCTTCCCCAATTCTTTCCATTGGAGAATCCTATTCATTCTTTAAAAAAACAAACTTTACACAAAAGCAGTTAGAATCTCAACTGCCCCACACAGG